TCAAAAGGAGTATCACTAAAAGTTCTATATGTATTTGAGTCTTCCATAAGTTCTTTTATGTGACTAAAATCTGAATTATCTGAATCATTATCTTCTTTAATAGTTCCTATTCTTATGTTATGTTCTTGATCATAATATAAGTATTCAGATTCTGTAATTATCTTATTAAGATACATTTGATCTTCTAATTCTAATAATTCTTTATTATCTAGATTCATTCCCAATTCTTTTGGATAAATTATTCTATCATTTTCTTCATCTATTAATTCTAAATGGACTTGATTTTGAAATGGTTCATTTTGTTCTTCCTCAAGATTAGTTTCTTCTTCAAAGTCATTCTGTCTTTGTACTTGATTATAATCTAAAAATCTTAAACTAGTTATTCCATGAACATCTTTATAGGTTAATGCTTCCTGTGGTGCTATAATTGTTTCTTGATTTTCTAGAAACTTATCCATATCCCATTCTAGTCCTGCTAATTGTTCTGATAAGTATTCTTTAGGTTTAACCATATTAATTTCTTTACTACTCATTAAATTTACTACTTTATCTATATAAATTTTATATTTTGTCTGAGAATTATTTGAGCATCTTCCTAAAAATCCTATACTAATTAACAAATTATCTCCACTTTCTACCTCTTCATATCCTTTTGTCTGAATTCTTATTTTAATTTTATCTGAAAAGTCTTTAATAGTTAATAAAAAATCTGGATTACAATAAATTATTCCATTATTATTATTCATATCTACTTCTGTACTTGCAATCATACTTTTATCTATATTATTAATTCTTTCATCATATATAGTAACTAAAACCTTACATCCTAAATTTTTTCTCATTAATCCTTTTATTCCTATGACTATTAATCCTAGATGCATAAATCAAAAGTTTTTCTTTTTTAATTCTTTCTTAGAATCTTCTGATATTAAATTTAATTTTCTTACTTGATTTCCTATACACTGGACATATACTTCTCTACTATGTCTAAAAAATTGTGTTCTTGTTTCAAAGATTCCTCTATTATATAATATTTCTGGGTTAAGGATTCTTAAACCATTAGTTTGAAATCTTTGGTAATCTTGTTGAGGATCTATAATTTCTTCTATGTTTTGATTATATTGTACTGGTCTATTTAAAACTCTTTCTATTATATTTCTGCTTATACTAGAAGTACTGCTTCTGGATGTAGATGTTTCTTTATTTATTGTTCTAGACCTTCCTAAGAAAGGGTTTGTATTCATCTTGGAAATTTATATTCCTTAGGTAATTTTCTAGTTATCTTCTCTTTTCCTGTGTCTCTAAAACTTAATTTTTCTAAAGTATTTGTTAGGGATTTTAAGTCTTTTTCTACACTTGATGTAGTTCTTATTTCTATTTCTTTAGATTTATTAGAATCTAAAATTCTTTTTATTTCTGTTAAATCTACCTTAGCTGGTATTTTTTCTATTTTAACTAGTTTTTCTAAAATACTTGAATTTTGATTTTTAATATAATCTAAAGATTCTTCTATATTCTTGATCTCTTGATCTCTAGCCATAGTATATTCTTTTATAGTTTCTAAATAACTATTTTGCTTTTTATTTTCTGTTTCTAAATTTCTTGATAAATTTATGATTAAGTCTACTAAACAATTCTGACTTGGATCTTCTGAAAATAAACTATGTAATTTATGCTTGTTGTCTAAATTACACTTGATTATATTATTATCAACAGTTTGTACTTTTTTACTAGTGTTTCTTAAAATTTCTAAGTCTAAGTATTCAAGCTTTCTATTGATATCCAGAGTTCTAAATCGTAGTAAATATGTTCTGTTATAAAAATATGTCTATATTCTTCCACTAATACTCTTTTTACTATATTTTCTCTTAATTCAAAAGGTAAATATTTAAGAGCTTTAAATATTTCTAAAATTTCAATTAAATCTTTACTCCAGGTTCCAACTATATTGTCTTCCTCAAAATAACCACAAATATCTATACTATATCTTACCTGGTAGGTTAATCTATTATCTCTTATACCTGTAAGTTCTAATATCATATACTTTCTTGTCCCGATCACTACTTCCTTTTTTGCTCTGATATTAGAACTTACAGGTATAAGAGATAATAGATTAACTTACCAGGTAAGATATAGTATAGATATTTGTGGTTACTTTGAGGAAGACAATATAGTTGGAACCTGGAGTAAAGATTTAATTGAAATTTTAGAAATATTTAAAGCTCTTAGATATTTACCTTTTGAATTAAGAGAAAATATAGTAAAAAGAGTATTAGTGGAAGAATATAGACATATTTTTATAACAGAACATATTTACTACGATTTAGAACTCTGGATATCAATAGAAAGCTTGAATACTTAGACTTAGAAATTTTAAGAAACACTAGTAAAAAAGTACAAACTGTTGATAATAATATAATCAAGTGTAATTTAGACAACAAGCATAAATTACATAGTTTATTTTCAGAAGATCCAAGTCAGAATTGTTTAGTAGACTTAATCATAAATTTATCAAGAAATTTAGAAACAGAAAATAAAAAGCAAAATAGTTATTTAGAAATTATAAAAGAAAATACTACGGCTAGAGATCAAGAGATTAAGAATATAAAAAAATCTTTAGATTATATTAAAAATCAAAATTCAAGTATTTTAGAAAAACTAGTTAAAATAGAAAAAATACCAGCTAAGGTAGATTTAACAAAAATAAAAAGAATTTTAGATTCTAATAAATCTAAAGAAATAGAAATAGGAACTACATCAAGTGTAGAAAAAGACTTAAAATCCCTAACAATTACTTTAGAAAAATTAAGTTTTAGAGATACAGGAAAAGAGAAGGTAACTAAGAAATTACCTAAGGAATATAAATTTTCAAGATGAATACAAACCCTTTCTTAGGAAGGTCTAGAACAATAAATGAAGAACCATCTACATCCAGAAGCAGTACTTCTAGTATAAGCAGAAATATAATAGAAAGAGTTTTAAATAGACTAGTACAATATAATCAAAACATAGAAGAAATTATAGATCCTCAACAAGATTACCAAAGATTTCAAACTAATGGTTTAAGAATCCTTAACCCAGAAATATTATATAATAGAGGAATCTTTGAAACAAGAACACAATTTTTTAGACATAGTAGAGAAGTATCTGTCCAGTGTATAGGAAATCAAGTAAGAAAATTAAATTTAATATCAGAAGATTCTAAGAAAGAATTAAAAAAGAAAAACTTTAGATTTATGCATCTTGGATTAATAGTCATATGAATAAAAGGATTAATGAGAAAAAATTTAGGATGTAAGGTTTTAGTTACTATATATGATGAAAGAATTAATAATATAGATAAAAGTATGATTGCAAGTACAGAAGTAGATATGAATAATAATAATGGAATAATTTATTGTAATCCAGATTTTTTATTAACTATTAAAGACTTTTCAGATAAGATTAAAATAGGAATTCAGACAAAAGGATATGAAGAGGTAGAAAGTGGAGATGATTTGTTAATTAGTATAGGATTTTTAGGAAGATGCTCAAATAATTCTCAGACAAAATATAAAATTTATATAGATAAAGTAGTAAATTTAATGAGTAGTAAATGAATTAATATGGTTAAACCTAAAGAATACTTATCAGAACAATTAGCAGGACTAGAATGGGATATGGATAAATTTCTAGAAAATCAAGAAACAATTATAGCACCACAGGAAGCATTAACCTATAAAGATGTTCATGGAAGAACTAGTTTAAGATTTTTAGATTATAATCAAGTATAAAGACAGAATGACTTTGAAGAAGATTATGTTGATGGTTAAATAATAGAATAAGAATAATTTAAGATTACAAACAAAAATGTAATATTTCAATAAATTTAACATTTTTTTGTTTTGACTGAAAATCATATTTTTAGTAAATTATGATAAAAATTAATGAAATGTATAATTGAAAAATTGGTAAAAGTTGTGAATTTCATAAAATATGTGGATTAAAATAAGTTTGAAAAAAGTAAATCTTAAGAAATTGAGACCAAACAAATGCTTAATTTATCAACAGAAATTTCGTCGATTAATAAAGTAATTATAATATAACTAAATTATTGTTGAAGAAAATTTACTCTAAAATAATAGGGCTAGTATTATAAATAGAAAATAAAATGAAATCTCGAGTGTTTGAAAAATTAAAAGGGTGAAGAAATAGTAAGTGTTTTTTTGTTGGCGATACGAAATAATGTCTGTGATTGCGGATGAAATCATGAATGACATTATGATCGATAATCATTGACATTTATGCATTGATAAAATAGTTGTTGAAAATTCCATTTAAATTAGTGATTCTACCAACAATCATTTTTCTTTTTCCATTCAAAATATCTTTTTATAATGATGTTTAAAAATGTCAATATTAATATCCCAAGTTTTTTGAGTTCTCTAGCCACAATGTTTCCCTTCCGGTGCCTATATTTGGCCTCCATTTTTTTTTAAATTGCAATTTTTTTAAAATTGATTTTCAATCGTACATTCTCTCGTAAAATAAATTGACATGTGAATCTAATTTTTTTTAATCACACATTATCCAAAAAATATTACTCCAAACTGTATTTCCCCTCACCCCCCCAAATAAAAGGGCTCAAATCAGGGGTCGTCCCTTGTTTGGTCCCCATTTTTCAAAACTCAATTTTTTTCCAATTCATTTTAACCATACATTTTTTGAGATTCACAACTTTTCAACAACATATTTCATTATTTTTTTTTATCAAAATTTATTAAATATTTAATTTTTATCACAACACAACAAGGGTAGTTTTATAACAGATATTTATGTCCCTATTTCGCTTAGTTAAATGTCAATTTTAGTAAATTTTGATAAAAATTAATAAATCATATTGTAGAAAATTGAATATTTTATTTTTCCAAGTATATGAATGAAATTAATTGTTATTTTGACTTAAATTTCAAATAATTTTTTTTTTATTTAAACCAAATATGAAGATGTTAATGATCATTTTTCGCTTATAATACGCAGGCAGGGTTTGGACCTTGGGCAACTTCAATACAACTCGCGCTCAACCTACGCCCTTCAGCTAAACAGTCATAGTCAAAACTTTTCCACCGCTGGAATGAGCAGCTGGAGAACTCTAGTGCTTCGAATTGGTGAGAAGTGCCCTGACTATGGTGGAAATGACGACTTCAAAGACCATATTGTAAGTGTTCCACTCCCAAATTCCTCCGAAACCCTAGTTTCTTTAGAAGATTTGCCGTGAAAGCCGCCATCTTATGTACTCAAGGATTCGAATTTTGTTTAAGTTTGCTCGTTTCTGAAGTTAAGTGTGTTCTAATTGCATTTATAGGAGACATGCTTTGGTGCCGTTCGCCGTGAATTGGAGTACTCCGAGGACGATATCTTAGTGGTGAAATGTTTTCTATGTCTAATTTATTAGTATTCTTTATTTTACCTTAACCTTTCATCTCTGTATTTACTAAAATCACTCACTGGACCAGAATTAAAGTTTTTTGAGTAGCATTAACTACACAAAAGGATTATGGACTAAAAACAAGTTTGTCATCGAGGTTTGTTATCAGAGGGAGGTTTGTGAATCAATGATGAATTTCCCACTTTGTTAATTGTTGGAGGAAAATTTTTTAGTTGACCTTATTAATGACCTAAGAAGCAAGTTTTCGAATAAGTAATTCGAATAGGACACGGGTATGTTCATACAACTTTTAAACAAAACTTTAGATACGGAGATACGTGTCCAAGCATATCCAAGCGTAGAATCGGATACTTGTGCGCAATATACAAGTGTCTGTGCTTATTATTTATTGACTCAAATTGAAAATTATATAGGCCCGGAAGTGGAAGCCTGAAATAGATAATTTTTCTTCCCCTTCGAAATATATTAAATCAAGCTAGTCAAATTTATCATTTCATATTATGCACTTGTTTTGTCTTAGTTTCCATTTTCCTTTTTTATATATATTTTTATTTTTTAAAATTATCTGGACTGAAAAACTTACTTTGTTATATTGATGCAGTTCCTTCTCCAGTGTGCCGAGCAATTGCCTCACAAGATACCTTTGTATGGAACATTGGTAGGTAGAATATACTATTTAATTATTATTTCCTCAAGTTCCTTTTGTGAATCTTTGTTATTGCTCGGTATAAATGTCAAGGTGGATGATGGATAAAATACTGAAATCATTTTTTGTCAGAAGAATTTACAAGGTTTTATGTGAAAGATTTGAAGCATAAAATTGCAATTGGTAGAAACTGGAAGTTGAATTGATAAATGTATAGCTAAGGATTGTTTTTTAGAATACAATATGAGCATAACTACGGTTGGTTTCTTGTTGCAAATTGCTTTATACATGTGATATGGTAGGAAAAAATCAATATAACTAGATGATATTTTAAGATCTATTCCGTGTAAAAGACTTTTAGAGAATTGATTCAAGCATCTCAATTCTTTCTCTTTAATTGTGAAAGTTGACTCCACACACCACCTGGTGTTGTGTTGCCATTTTTGGGAAGCAAAAAATTGGGCTGGCCACTTAGAACTAACTATAATTTGATAGTTCGCATCAAAACAATCTTTTTATAATGTAGTTAGTTTCTCACAGTGACAAAATTTCTATTCCTTTTTATATTTGATTTTGTGTAATTACTTTATGTATTTATTGATTTCTTCTACCGCATCATTATCTTTTGCTTTGACTCGGGCTCAAGAAAAACATTATTTTGCTCTCCAGTCCGACGTGGTCTGGGTCAAGTGGGCCATAAACATGCTCTGTGAAAGTGGTTTCTTAATGTTTTGAACACCATCGTTTCTGCCTTATCTTTTTTTTTTCTTTCTTTTTTTTTTTTAAATGAAAATGAAGCTTTAATTGCTGTGGCACAAAGCACCCATGAATAAAAATTTAAAGCAGACATAACAGGTGTTTCATCATTACAAAATTAAAAAATGTGAAAACGTGGACAATGCTTATTGGCTCCAAACAAATATTTAATGTCTGAGTATGTTCTTCTTCCTGGAGAATGGAAACTCTATTTTATTGGTGCCTCTCTTCCCTCTCATCAATTTGCATCACCTCATTCTATAAAGAGCCAGCCTCGAAGTGCTATGATTCCTCTTATTTCTTTTTGTATGGTGATCATTTAAGCATGAAGTCCGTAGTGAACAGGTAATTTTCCGGTGGATACCACATGTTGGGAGAAAGCATGTCCTGCAACAGAAATATTTCCTCGTTAACCCCCTGTATAATTTATTAGGGCGAGTCTCTTTTTCGCGTGGCAGATAAAAAACAAAGAGAGGTGCGAGTCCAACAAATCAATAACACACTAGAGCACCTTTTTTGACAGCTACGCTGTTAAACTTCTACCTAAAATAATTTGAACGAACTAGGGTTTGCCCATGCCAAAATGATGCCTATTAAAGCTGGTTTTCAATTCTCCAAGCAGCATTTGATATTGTTTTAAATTAATGTAAATCTTTTGTGAGGTGGTAATTTTTCCCACTGCATGTATTAGAGAATGCCAGTCATGCTAATATATATCTGCTAACAGTATGACTTTACATTAGCAATTTTAACTAATTTCTTCTGATGTATGGTGATTTTTATTCTTTTGATTTCCTGCTGATGACAACACACTTCTCCCATTTGTTTTCATTAACACTCACCTATTTCTTTAGGTTGGTCTACTAAATCTGGAGAATGAGGATTTTGTCACAAAAGTTGTAGAGAATACTCAAGCTAATTTGCAGGTGAGGGATCCCAAGATAGAGACCATATTTGCTTGTATGTTCCATTTAACTTTTATACAGTAGGCACGCTTCTAAACCTTTTCTTTATGAATAAAACTGCTTTCATTCCTCTTGCCGTGTCGTCCATTTTGCTCCCCCCCATCTTGAAACAGTACATCCTCTTCCCCTTCATAGACAATTTAATTAATATGTTGATGGTGTTTTGACGAATCTGGTCATCGCATTTGAAGTCTGGTTTATTTGCAAATTAAGACTTGTCAAACATTGTGATCGTCAAAGTTTGGTGAAATTGTTCTCCTTTTGCTCCATTGATGCATATTTCAAGGGTTGCTGGTTGGGCAAAACTTTTGAAAACTGGTCATTATCTTGTCCCGGCACAAATATCATAGGATAAAATTGTAGATGGCCAGATGGCTTTTGTCTTTATTAACTCACGTCAGATTTACAAAGCTCTTTTGAACAGAAACTTTGGAACTTGTCTCGGCCAACCGGAAATATAGGGTTTTGAATTAATTTTTTTGCTCGATCAGTACGTGAATGCTGTATCAGCGAATTTTTATTTTCATCAAGTGGTATATCTTGGTTGAAAGAGAAAGTTTCACATTATTGTTATCTCAGCCTATGATGTGTTTGGTGAGACGAATTCATTCCTTTATAATTGTCTCATGTATTTCAGGCTGCTTTGGACTCTGGAAATTGTGATAGGATCCGTGTATTGATGCGCTTTTTGACAGGCTTGGTATGTGTCAGCTGGCTACTCTACTGCTTCAGAAAACATTGCCTTACGTTAAAAGTTTTGAACCTTTACAACTTAACTAGTATCTTGGATTTAGAAAAGAAAGGTCTTTCTTTAATAAATTCTTTTCTTTTTTTACGTTATGTTAACTGAGATACAAGGATTAACATTTCTGGATTGAATCAAGATATTTAGACTGTTTAAATAATCGAGGTGGGGAGTTCAGGGGTTGGTGCATTGGCAAAGAGCCTGAACTAAAAACCAAAACTCTATGGGTTTAATATTAGGCTTCCTTTTTGTGTCTTTAATGCCAAATATTTGATCTGCACTTAGTCTTCTACTCGTATCTCTTGGTTAGCCAGGAATCAATTGGGTATGAATTGTTATTACGTTGAGTTACTTGGGATTAGATGGATGTAAGAGGGAAGACTAATGTACATTCTCACCTGTGCTGTATATGAATATAAGGGGAAGCTCTTTTCCTCTTCCTTAAAAGATTTTGAAGTACGGGTTTCCTATTAAATATAGTGTATTCCCGACTCTTTTGTACTTCCGATATTGTCTTCAATCCTGTTCAGGTGATAATTGTGAGAGGGAAAAAAACAGAGAAGAATTCCTTGTTACTTTTTTCATTGACATCCCAACTCTTAGCATTAGACTTTGTTACTTTCCTTTTTATTGTTGAAATAGTTGGAAAAATATAATTTTTCAAGAAAAAGTATTACATAATTTGCTTCATTCTCTTTCGGGGTACTGGGTACAGATGTGCAGCAAAGTTCTTCAACCGAGTTCATTGGTGGTTCTGTTTGAAACATTACTATCATCAGCGGCAACAACAGTGGATGATGATAAAGGAAATCCCTCTTGGCAAGCTCGTGCTGACTTTTATATAACTTGTATTTTGTCGTGTCTCCCTTGGGGGGGAGGAGAACTGGTTGAGGTAAAGCTTCTTTCTTTGATAGGCAATTTTCACTTTGTTTTTGATAGGCATTAACTATGTCAGGCTTCATTTTGATGGCATCGTTTAGAGGTCTTCCCTGATTATAATTTTCTTTAGTTTAGCATCACTTTATCTCCCTCCCTCACGTCTCCCATTTCTTCTAATGAAAAAATATAACCACGACGACAAATACCGTTGCGATTTCTTCCTTTTTCTTTCTTCTCTCTCACATTTTTAGCCTTAGTGGACTTCTGGAAGAATTATAAAGTTCTTTCTTGTACTATGGCTGCCAATTAACATGAGATGATAGTTTAAGTTTGTTTGACTGCCAGCAAGTTCCTGAGGAGATTGAGAGGGTTATGGCCGGCATACAGGCTTACATGAGCATTAGAAGGCATGTTTCTGACACTGGCTTCTCTGTCTTCGAGGATATTGATGAAAGCAATGAACCTGACAATGAAAAAGTATGTGTTACGGTCTTGCTTAGTATGTTTCCTCGTTCCCTTTGGGGGGTGAGAAATTATAATATTTTGCATTCATAAAGTACTTGGCTATTGATTCTCAACTATTAATTTTTAGTTTATTTATGTTTAGGATTTCTTGGAGGACTTGTGGAGTCGGATTCAAGATCTTTCTAACAACGGGTGGAAGCTTGATAGCGGTACTGTTATTTTTGTCTTTAATTTTGGTTGTTTCATCACTTTTTGCTGTATATATACTATCCTGTGCTCCACTCAAACTTCCCATGATATTATGCCAAATAATTTTTCAATGCCTCATCCTTCCTCATCAACTAGGAAAAGGCAGAATGTTCAATTTGGGAGGGGGGTTTCTACTTTCAAATGGCAGCAGCATTAAGCAACTTCCCACCCATATTCTTATTCTTAGCATATTTATACTGGTGCTTATTACATTTTGATTTCTGCAATAAAGTTATATGCTCAATATATTTCCTCTACTCTGAGTTATAAATCCCTTTCCAGTTCCAAGACCACACCTTTCATTTGAAGCACAGCTGGTTGCCGGGAAGTCTCATGATTTTGGTCCCATAAGCTGCCCTGACCAATCTGATCCTCCTACTGCATTATCTGGGATTGCCTTTGGCAGACAAAAGCACGAAGCTGAGTCAAAATATCCTCAAAGGATACGGAGGCTTAATATATTTCCTTCTAGTAAATATGAGGTACTTTACTGAGTCATACTCTAATTGATTGAATTTAGATGTATGTTTTCAAATTCTCGTATTTATGAAGTCTGTATTACTTTTTTATCCCATATCTAAATGTGCAACTGTCATTCCCAGAGAGGACATAAAATAGCAAGCCTGTTGAATTAATTTCTGGTTGGTAAATTTTGCTTCCATTTTCATGGGAATATCTGTACTCTGCTACTGAAGTTCCTTAACAATGAATAGCTACTGTTACATTTTTAACCGCAATGCTTCAATGTTCTTGGAGTCTAGTTTCCCCACCAAGATTGTGATTTGCATTACTAGCATATTAATATTTGTAGCCTTCATTAATGAGTATAGATAATGGTATGTAAAAACACATTTTCACTTGCCAGTGTAATGGGCAATTAGTAGACTTGCTTTATAGTCCTTATCACAGAAATTTTAAGTTTAGAAGTCTTTCTGTTTTTTCTTTCCCTTCAGTGGTATTTTGGGAAATTTACATTTGGTAATCCATCCATTTCAAGCACGCTGATGGTTTGATCTATTTGAAACATTCAGTTACTTTTGCAGGTTTAGTTTCTTAAGGTACTTTATAGCTTTTTCTAGCTTGTCTGTGCTTTTCCTTAAATGTTCTGCATTCCCTTTCTTTTGAATGTTAAACAACTCTTTTATCATGCTCAACTTTTGGGGTCAATGGATGTGAAATGATTTAAGTGATTATTCAACCCTTGTAAAATAGGTCCAACATGGTTAGCCATAATAATTAATTCTTCTTCTTAATGCAAGCACTTAATTTTGTCGGAACTCTCTTTTTCTCATTGATAGTTAAAAATTTGATTTTTTTTTTCTTTACTGCTGTGTATGTGCAAAATTGAGTAATTTAGTACCACTCCGTTGGTTGCAAAATGTCTGCACTTGGCAAATCTTTATGGAATTGCAGATTTTTTGACATTGTGATGTTACGTAATCATTGATCAACAAGGTTTTGAGGATGTCATGTTGGCTGGTATTTCTGAAAAACTTTATCGATCTGCACGGATTTTGATGTGTTCTTTCTTTAATATTCCAAATCAACATAATTCCTTTTTTCCTATACTTTGGAAGTTCAACTTGTGTGCCTTGAGACTGTTTGCCACTTCAAAAGTTCTGCACTTTAGAGATGGTATCTGGGTAGAACCTATGAGTATAGCTTTGATGGTGTGCATGTACTCACTACTATTCTTTCTTTTGACATATGCTGTTTAATGCACTCTCATTAGTGGCTCATTTTCCCCTGTTCCTTCTTCTAATGGCAGGATGTGCAGCCTATAGATCGGTTTGTTGTGGAAGAGTATTTGTTGGATGTGATGTTATTCTTAAATGGCTGGTTAGTAGATGCGTTGACTCAACTCATTTTGTTCATTTAAGTTCACATTAATGCTACAGTGGTTTCTGGTAAATGTCGGTAACAGTCTTGGAATTAATTTTGGCATTTGAAGTATGTTGGTAGGTTGGAAGGAGGATTGGGCATTCATACTTCTATTAAGCAGATATGCCCACTAGAGATTCTTGAATTTCTTTTGCATTAAAGTTCTTGTTAAGTGCTATTCTGTCTGTTGTTGATTGTCCGCCATTGAGAGTATATAATGAAGAAAGCGAGGAATTGCTAGTGTTCATGTTTGCTGGTGACTTTACAAGATAGTTCATCTCCAAGAACTTCACCGTTCCATTTTTCCTTCAAAGAGGGAGAATCTTTTGTGAAGAGAAATTTTTTGACGTATGATGAGAAAGGAGACTATTTATACTGCTAAAGATTTTCTACCTATGTTGTGCTTGCTCGAATTTTTATACATTAGGGGCATTTCAACATAACCAACGGCACTTGATTTTTTATTATTATTATTATTATTATTATTATTATTTTTAATATGGTGATCATTCAGAAACCTTGCTATCTCACCTTGCAGCACAACTTGTACTCCTATTTTCCTCACCATTTATGTTGCTATTATGCAAAGTGCATCTATTTGACATCATGTAGAAGTTTATTTCCCATCTTGGTGATATTTGGATTTGAGTAAATGGAGTTGTTTCCTGCCTCGTGATTTTTCTTCGTGCTTTAAATTTTCTGGAGTTGAAATGTTCATCCTACTTCCTACCCTGATATTGGCATACTGTGTCCAGATTTAGGTTGAGTGCATTGGCTGAGCATTTTTTTTTTTTTTTGTCATGAAATTTATGAATATGATTCCATTGTTACTTTATATTCTTATTCTTTTGTTTTGGTTCTTGCAAAGCTAGTCGAAAGGAATGTGCTTCATACATGGTTGGGCTGCCTGTTTCCTTCCGATACGAATACCTTATGGCTGAGACAATTTTCTCTCAGGTATGAAGTGAGATTTTATGCATGTCTGTGAAATGTTATAATTTCCTTATAATTTAAATGTCAAAGTCAAACATTAATTTTTGCCACACATTTCATAAGACCCCAGTGTTACTACCCGTTCATCCACCGCTCTTGTCTATCTCTCTGTAGTTTCATTAACACAATTTTATCCAAATAAGCACACATCCAATCCTTTTGGAATGGCAATATTAGGTTTTTTATTGAAGTTGTCGAGCTAATTAATCAAGCAAAGCAGGGGTGTCCCTGCATGGGAGGGTGCAGGGTTTGTGCATTTTGATGTTTTCTTATGAAGAGTTGAGTTTAGACGTATCCATGTCAGCAATTTCATTATGAAGTATGCAAACTCATAAAATATGCAGAAAGATCTTGGGATATGACTGTCCATATGAAAGAGGACAACCAACCTTGGCTTGCGTTCATTTACAGAGACGCAGAAGAATCGGATTTTTGAAAGTCAATACATGTTATCACTTGATGTCTGGCAAAGCTAGTTAACCTTGATCTCTGTGATCTTAGGCAGCAGGATCTTTTAGTGGCAACTGGCAAGCCTTAGCTGATGTGCAATGTATGGAAAGATCAGCTTATTTTGCCACTGTTTTGTTTAGATAAAAATCAGATTTTTGATGGATTTGATAAAAGTTGATGAAAAATGCGTGCTCAAAAAGTTGATAAAATTGTGAGTCCCATAAAATGAGTGGTTGAAAATGAGTTTTTGGAAATGGGGGCCGAATGGGGGCTTAGTTTTAGGTTTATCTCTCTTCTAGAAAATTGCTTTCTCATATTTGTAATTTGTATTTTCTCCGAAAAAAATTGTTCATATGTCCTTCCATTATTCAATATACTATTCTAGAAGAAAGCAGCGTAAATTTACCATGTTAATAGGATTGAGATACTCCTCCGATCCTCCGACCAGAACACAAAACACAATAAATAAATTAATAAATGAAAAAAATTGAATGGAGAAAGGTGAGTGGATTTATCCAACAAAAGTTTTGTTGATTCAAGAATGAGTTCGAATTTTAATTTGGGGTCATAATTGATTGAAACACTAACATATATCTTCGCTTTTCAAATTTTTTGGCTTTGCAGCTTCTTTTGTTGCCTCAGCCCCCGTTCAAGCCGATGTATTATACTTTGGTCATTATTGACCTCTGTAAGGTGCCATATTTTGCCAATTTTATTAACTTCTTTCATTCCCAAGATGCTATTCTGTTCTGTAAAACACAATTTCAAGCATTCGATAGTAATAGTTTGGAAGGTGCTATCAAGTGTTCTGACTGTGGGGGTTACATTACAGTCTCTTCCTGGTGCCTTCCCGGCAGTTGTAGCAGGGGCAGTCCGTGCTCTTTTTGACAAAATTGCTGATTTAGACATGGAGTGCCGTACACGCCTTATCCTTTGGTTCTCACATCACTTGTAAGTTTATCTCTTGTTGTCATGTATGTTTGGTGATATTCAGGTGGAGAGTTTTATGCTTTTTGTGAAGTCCGTTTATGAAGTTTTATTCGTGCAAATATCACATTGCAATTAATGAAATATTTCTTATGCAAGTAGTGCATGTCACCATTCAGATTCTTGGAACGCATATAGGTTGTGTGCAAAAAGAATAGTTTTATTCTTCCTTGGAATATATTTATTAATTTGTCTTCTACTACTACTCACATTTTCATACATATTGTTGAGAACTAACCCTTACAACCAAAACCCAAAACACCTTTTTACTGCCACTTTGACAAATTTGATTATAATAATTACATGCCAATACAGGCAAGTGTGTGTATTGTGCTTTTGGTATAGAGCTGAAGTTATCTAGTTCTGTAAAAGTCTCTTCCTTGATGAATGCGTGGTAGCAAAACAGAACATTAATTAGAGCTTAGTAGGAACTGTGGGTAAAAATTGGAAAAAAGCTTTCCTTGTTGCAACCCTGTATATTTTGTTGCGACTTCAGTATGAAACTAATTAGAAGTGGGCGCGGGTCAGTTCGGTTCGGTTCTCTTTACCAAAATTTTCGGGTATCTAGTAAATGGAACCGTCGGGTCCAAATATAATTATGGAACCGTTCGGGTTTGGTTCTGTACTATAATTAAATTTTTTAACATTTATAATAACATTATATAAATACAACTAATGACACATTTAATAGTTTTGAAATGTCAGAGACTGATAGACTACCTTATTTAAATGATCGCTACGATCAAAGTTTCGGTTGACATATGTCACAGCTTCGATCGGAGGTCACAGTATCGGCCGACGATTGTATAGGTTTTAGAATGTCAGTGAGGTTGCAAGAGTGAGTGCGAGAGACAAGACAGCATTATGCACTTTAGTGTAGGTGCTTAGGGTTATTTAGTAGGTTGGATCTTATTGGGCTAAGAAATGAAACAATAAAATGGGTAATTGGGCCAAAAATAAAAAAATTAGAAATAAAACAAATTATTGAGCCAAAATTTTGGATTTAGAAATTGTTAATTTGTTTAGAAAAAATTAAAATTAAAATAATTTGACTTATTCAATATAAAAAAAAATTAGAAAGATTCGGTTCTTGGTCTAGAACCGAGAACCGAACATACCCGTTAGTTCTCAATTCAGATACCTGTAGGGGTATTTAATTTGACAAGAACCGTCGGGTTAGGTCGGTTTGGTTCGGGAGATTTGCCCAACCCTAAAACTAATATAAGGTGCCATTTTAAGAAAATAGTTACTTTTAAAACATTTTGATCAATTTGTGCAGTAGGGACTCTTGACCCCCCAAAATTGTTTTGAAGTGGCTGTTCCTTTTGGGTTTATGTATAAAAACGATATTATTTAGGATTCCCCATGCCTCATTTGTGTACCTTGTGCATCATTGGATATCTTTCTGTGTGAACATGCTCTAGTATGCCGACTTATGCTGATACATCATTCCCAGAAAATTTCTCACTGCTTCATTGTTTCGTGGTATTTTGGATTGCAGATCCAATTTTCAATTCATATGGCCGTGGGAAGAATGGGCTCATGTCTTAGACCTCCCAAAATGGGCTCCACAACGGGTGTTTGTCCAGGAAATTTTGGAAAGAGAAGTACGTTTGTCTTATTGGGACAAAATTAAGCAGGTATATATATGCCGTTGGCTAGTTATTTTAATTTGCTTGTTTTGCTTTTCATTTATATCAGTAAGCAAACAAATATGTTGGCAATAGACAATATGTTGAGCATATTTGTGAGTTATGACTATAAAATGAGCTGTGATGCATGAGTATGTCAAAAAGTAATTTCATTTGTTAAGATCAATAGCTGCTAAAATAATTTCTAATTTGCATTGATTAAGCTCTGATGATGGATGTGTGATGTATCAAGGAGTTGTACTTTCAGAGTAGTGTGATAGTTTATAGTTCCATGTTTCAGCCACCTCTTGGAAGGCCACAGGAGGCTCTTCCACGCATGGATGGATTATATATGTTTCTTAAGTACGGTTGCATGTATTGTCAATATAGGATTGCATATTGGATAAGATGAATAGAGATGGGATGGTAATTTTATTAATATATGCTATAGTGAGCTTGATGTATTGCCAATTTTATGAACACGTCTTCATGTGTGTGTTGCTTAATAAAATTTTGATTGCTGGTGTGCGAATGGTTTTCATACTAACACAATTTGAGAATTATTAACTCCAGCAAGTAAAATGTATAAATTGTGTTTTCTTAGTGGCGAAAATTGAGTCTTTTGTGTGTTTGACTAGTCCTGTGTAATTTCTTTCATTTGTTTGTGCTTATAGAGCATTGAGAGTGCCCCTGTTTTAGAAGAGTTACTTCCACCAAAAGGTACACCAAACTTCAAATACAGTTCAGAAGATGGAGATAAAACTGAGCATGCCCTTTCCTCAGAACTTATTGGCATGGTGAAAGGAAGGCTATCTGCACGTGAAATTGTTTCATGGGTTGACAATAGTGTGCTTGCCATTCATGGTTTGGATATCGCACTCAGCGTTGTTGTTCAAACCCTTCTCAATATTGGATCAAAAAGTTTTACACATTTGATCACTGTTTTGGAGAGATATGGTCAAGTCATTTCAAGGATTTGTTCAGATCAGGACAAACAAGTTATGCTGATATCTGAAGTGAGTTCATTCTGGAAGAACAATGCTCAAATGACAGCTATAGCCATTGACAGAATGATGGGTTATCGCCTTATATCTAATTTGGCAATTGTGAGATGGGTTTTTTCACCATCTAATGTCAATCAATTTCATATTTCAGATCGTCCATGGGAGGTAATGTACAACAGTTTTAGATTATTTATTTATTTATTATTATTATTTTTTTTAGGGTCCATAATATTCTTAGTAAATTTATGCTAGAATATGCGAAGTATTTCTTTTCTGTTTCACATATATGTATATATTTTTTTTTTCTTTATACACAGACGATTCTAAATAATATTATATGCTTCTAGGAAAGGGGTTGTTGTAGATTGAGAAATTGTACAGCCTTTTGTTATTAAACGTGGCAAACACATACCTTCTAGTGTAGGTAGGCATACATTCCAACAATGACGCACCTGTATAGGCAACTAAATTTAGAGTTAATATCACAGTAATATTTTAGAAGGGACTACTACTGGATGTTTCTGCTATCATCTTGAGAGGAGTTCTCAGAGAGGGGGATAGAGAAATCAAAAGGGGTGAATTGGGGGTGGCCTACCATGACATTGATAACCAGATCAAACATGATTTACATTTTCCAGAGAAAAACTTATATTTTGTGTAAGTAGTATTGCTCTAATCTCTTAAGTTTCAATTTGCACCAAAGAACAAGGCCTTCTTCGAATAAGCCAATCCATTTGGGACCCTGCAGAACATCTACCTTTTTTAATTCACTGTCTAAGTACAAAATTTGTAGAAGTACATGTTAGTTGCCTGAATTGATTTTCGCAAATTACTAAATTGAATGAATTATTTTGAACAATTTAAGGATTGGGTTACGTGGATACCTTTCTGAACTTTCAAATCTTGCTTATGGAAAATAAGAGAGGCAGGCCATATCTATCTCATGTGTACCTACTGTTATAAATTGTTGCATTGCAATCTCTGGTCACTGTTCGGCATCCACAGCTTTGTTTATAGAATTACAGAGCGATAACAAGCTTAGATTGATGGTATTTTACTTTACATGATCTGATTGGTAAATGAAAGCAAGATGTTAATCTTTTAATTAAATCCAGGGGAAACCTTTTAGTTGGCTTATGATATCAGTTATTCTTTCATCGAATGTTTGTTTCAATATGTGAATATTAGTTCAAATATTTCTGCTATTGCAGATTCTGAGGAATGCTGTGAACAAGACATACAACCGTATTTCTGATCTAAGGAAGGAGATGTCGTCCTTGAAAAAGAGCGTTTTATCAGCTGAAGAATCTGCATCTAAAGCCAGAGCAGAGTTATCAGCTGCTGAGTCAAAGCTTACACTCATGGATGGTGAACCTGTTCTTGGTGAAAATCCTGTGAGAATGAAGCGTTTGAAATCTCAAGCTGACAAAGCAAACGAGGAGGAGTTATCTGTTCGTGAATCATTGGAGGCAAAGGAGGCTCTTTTTGCTCAAGCTGTTGATGAAATTGAGGTATTCTTAGATTTCAGACTGGATCTTATAGAATAAAGAGAAGTTTAAATAATACTTGGTGGATATGAAATATGAAATAATTGAATTAATAGTAAGTTCATTGAGAACTGGTTTCTTATTGGATCCATGTTTTATCTACAGGCTTTATTTATATCCTTGTATAAAAATTTTTCCAATGTTTTGGTGGAACCCCTTCGTGATGCATATAATTATCTGATGAAATTGTGTACCCAATAATTTTTTTGGTTGATATTTTATGTTCCTTTTGCTTGGTTTGGGTGGATGTTGCAGTCACTCCAACGGGGATAGGAGTGGAAATGATTATACTGTTGGTGAGAAAGAGCAATGGTGTTCATCAACTCTGGGTTATGTCAAAGCCTTCACCCGCCAATATGCTTCAGAGGTAAGTTCTTTCCTGTGATTCCTTAGTTTGTACTTGGCTTTTCTTGTTCTATGGTTCGAGAATGACAATTTTACTCTGGAGCTTGTGTGAAGTGATGCTTTTTACGATTTTTGAATTGCATATTTTTAATTTGAGGTGAATGATAGGGCTTTCTTCAATTTTCAAAATATGGTGGTAACAATGTCAATTTGTACTCTCTTGCTTTTGTTCACTTGAGGCTTTATGTGCCTACCTGGAA